GCACTTAAAACTTTAACCAGGAATTTTTCCAAAACATGTATTAAGTTTCAAGTGAATACGTTCACTAGTTTCGAAGATTGGTGTTGCACTTAAAACTTTCACCAGGAATTTTATAAGTAGAAAAAGGTCCAAATTCGATCAAAATCCATGTCAGAGTTAATCATAATCACAAAGACATGTATAAAGTTTAAAGTGAAACCTTCCCAATCGGATTCTGAATCTGCCATATCAACTTATCTAAAGTTTCACAACAATAATTATTGTTGAATGCGCATGTGCGCCGGATGGCGAAATCACAAAACCGCGAAAACACAAAGGGGGCAGGGGACCTAAAAATGAACAATTTTGTATTTCAGTGTGAGCAGAAACACAATTCCAAATATTTCAAAATCTGTTTCACAGGCAGATAACCAGTTGCACAGCATTATTCAATGATATATGACATACATTGAAGAAAATAATAGTTTGCATGCATTGCTCCTTCAAAAAATGACTGACAGCAATTTATATTTACCCCCACCCAGCCGAAATCACACCTAAAATATACCAATATGGGCAATCTTCATGAAGGTGCAGCATACTCCAGAATCCGCCGATTCCTTTAAAAATATCAGTAACACGCAGTGCAAGCTATGGCATTTTCAGAAAAATGACCAATAAAGTGTCTGTCATACGTTTAGATTTTTCACAAAATTTATCTGAAATTTTTTACTTGTTTGGCGCCAACTGTCAAAGCTTGATTTTTAACTTTTTCACCTCCATTCGGAGAGTCAGAAATACATATAAAGCTACCAAAAATGCTTAGTTTCGGGTTAAAACCCAAAAATACTGATCATTTCCTACATACAAACATGAAAAACTCACAATGACAGAGAAATATCAAAAGTTATCAGTACCTTCAAAACACCATGTCTGAGTTATTAAAAAATTTGACCCGGGGCCATCATTCGAATATGTCCCCTGCCCCCCAAAGATACGATCCAGTCGACAATTATCGTCTTCGGGTCGATAATTATGGCGTTATGGCCGCGTATTTTCGTAATTTCGTCCACGTATTTTTGCATTTTCGTCCACGTATTTTCATTGTCTCGATTTTTCGCGTTTTCGTTTTTGTCCTTTTGACTTTCATATTCGTACTTCCGCGTTTTCGTCCTCGTATTTTCGTGTTTTCGCGTTCCAGGTTTACTTTATTTATAGGCGATGGCCCAAACGGAACACCGTAGAAGACCGTACTTTTATACTAACTCTGTTTGTGGTTAAAACTGTTTTTAAAAGTTAGTCATTTCTTTTTAATAAGAAGTTTTGGTTATAAATTGAGAGATTTCAAGTATCAGGATTTTTAAGTAACTTTTACTTTCATAATAAGGTCTCCGCAAATAGAAATGTTTTTTGTCATGGGTAACTTTTGTCAGAAGTGCGCATCAGATGAGATGTTGTACGACGCAATTCAAAAGTTTAAAAATCAAGTAGGATGACAAAATGATTTGATTGTTTAAGGATCTTTTATTTATTATCTGAAACTGAGAAACATGTTCTCTATTCAACACAAATTTACAATATACATTTTACATCATGTTGAACTTCTCTTTATTATCAGTATTTGTATTTTTGCTTGTCATATGACTATGGTAATAATGTGCATTTATAAACATAGCCTCAAGAAATGATTACTGGCGAGCTTTATTTCCATATATGTTCCGTTGTATATATTTGCTCCAAAGTTTCCTCTGTTAAGTGTTAATTAATGCATGTATTATCCTGGTCAAAGACGGAGGGATACAGTTTTTATGTCCGTCCGTCTGTTCGATACGGTGGCACAAAGATGACATGTGTGTGTTCTTATTTATCTCGTGGCCACGACTTAGTAACTCATGGCCACGAGATACTATGTCGTGGCCTCGAATTACTAAGTCGTGACCATAAGATAGCTAAGTCGTGGCCACGAGATACTATGTCGTGGCCACGAGTTACTAAGTCGTGGTCACGAGATACTAAGTCGTGGCCACGAGATAGCTATGTCGTGGCCATGAGATACTATGTCGTGGCCACGAGTTACTAAGTCGTGGCCACGAGATAGCTAAGTCGTGGCCACGAGATACTATATCGTGGCCACGAGATACTATGTCGTGGCCACGAGTTACTTAGTCGTGGCCACGAGATAGCTAAGTCGTGACCACGAGATACTATGTCGTGGCCACGAGTTAAGTACTAAGTCGTGGCCACGAGATAGCTAAGTCATGGCCACGAGATACTATGTCGTGCCCACGAGATACTATGTCGTGGCCACAAGATACTATGTCGTGGCCACGAGTTACTAAGTCATGGCCACGAGATAGCTAAGTCGTGGCCACGAGATACTATGTCGTGGCCACGAGTTACTTAGTCGTGGCCACGAGATAGCTTAGTCGTGGCCACGAGATACTATGTCGTGGCCACGAGTTACTAAGTCGTGGCCACGAGATAGCTAAGTCATGGCCACGAGATACTATGTCGTGCCCACGAGATACTTGGTCGTGGCCACAAGATACTATGTCGTGGCCACGAGTTACTAAGTCGTGGCCATGAGATAGCTAAGTCGTGGCCACGAGATACTATGTCGTGGCCACGACTTACGAAGTCGTGGCCACGAGATAGCTTAGTCGTGGCCACGCGATACCATGTCGTGGTCACGAGCTACTAAGATATTCAGAACTGGTTAAATTACAGGCCATGGCATAGATTTTATATGACTTTGAGCTATAAATTTAATAGTTGCCCTTGAAGTATGGACAGGAGCATTGTCCTGCAGAAATAGGTAAATTATCTCCTGGGAAATATCTGGCTAAAACTTGCCACAAATTAGTTTCAAGTAGATCTATGTGATGTATTTCTGTGAAACAATATATCCTTCAACATGCGTGACAGTTTCAAACCCCCCCAACATATACATCCCCATATCATAACAAAGAAATTTGAGCCGCGTCACGACAAAACCAACGTGATGCGTTTGCGACCAGCTTGGATCCAGACCAGCCTGCGCATCAACGCAGTCTGATCAGGATCCATGCTGTTCGCTTACAAACCCTATTACAGGTAGAGAAACTGAAAGCGAACAGCATGGATCCTGATCAGACTGCGCGGATGCGCAGGCTGATCTGGATCCATGCTGGTCGCAAACGCACTATGTTGGTTTTGTCGTGACGCGGCTCATTTCTATTTTTTGGAATTAGAAATGACGTCTGTTTCTGAATCCTTCACGCTTTTGTCTCCATACATCACCATCTACAACAATCTGGCTCTCATCAGAGAATATAACATTCTTCCACTGTCTTTCAACAGTCCGCCACATCTGAAAACATGTCTTTTCTTTTCATATCCATGGTTGGCAGCATATAATCTTAGACACAGGGAAACGGCCCAGTGTTGGGATAGTGTAAAAAGAAATTTTTGAAGAAAAAAAAAACATATACTATATAATATAATATATAGATAGTCTATATATTATATATACAGTACAGTATACATTGTATATATTTTTTTAGAATTACTTTTTTACCCAATTCCAACACTGTGCATGCCGAGTCCCTTTATTTGATCTAAGGGAAGCTAATTATATATGCTCTATTAAGTCAAATATGGCCGCCATTTTAACCAATAGTTATGGCATGCTTTAAACCTTAAACTTCATAATTATTTGGTTACATCTGTCTAAGAATCATTACTATCTTTTGGTAAATATTGCAGTTATTATCCATGGCAATTTTTCATAATACTTTAGTTCGCTTTGGTCATTATTTAAAAATTTTGAAGTTATAATGTTAACCCTTCCTATTTATTCATACTCAGCGTCCGTAAAGTATCCGTCTTCTAACATATTACATATAATACATTCTTTATGGTATTGTCCACCTTTTTTGTCTTGATTTGTCATCTGTATGAAGAAAATGCTTTCGTAGAAAAAAAGGAAATGTAATGATCCCAGTGTGATCTACATATTTTTAAAAACCTAAGATCGACTGTTACATTTCTATAATATTTGTCTTTAAAATATTGATCGTAGTAAATTTGTAACTTATCATGTCAATTTCAAACAAAATTATCCTTCAATCATTATTTACTACTTCTAGAAACATCTCAACATTTTCTACAGATTTGGTGTGAAAACCTAATACAACTAATCTTTTATACAATCATGAGCACCAATTTACTTTAGCAGGAACAAATTCAGGCATACCAATTTATATTATTTTTCAAATTTGTGTTTTCATTTTCAATTATTATGTTAATTTGCAACAAAATTCAAGTATTTGCTACATTTCAATGAGTAAACTTGTTTCTATTAAACGTGCAAAGATTAACAAGTTAAAATTTTCATTATTTGTCTGTGGGAAATATGTTGAAACTAAAGGAAATGTCTTTAAACATTGAATATTAATTTCCGTAAAAACAACGGACGATATATCGACGGAAGAAAAATGCAGTATCATTAAAGTCTATATTCATATTTAGAAGTAGTTGAAGATGATACCTTTTCTTTGAAGTTTACTCTTGCTTTAACAATACACGAAATGAATGTCTTGTTTTAAATGATGATCAAAGTCTTCCAGTGCCAGTAGGAAAAGAAAATCTAAATCAATTACGCTATTAACTGAAAATATCTAATATTAAAAGTCAATGATAATATGTAGTTAAATGTGGACTCCTGTTAACCAATGTCCTTATTGTAAATCAGATTTTTTCCAGTTATAAAACTCATTCCGGTAGGTCTTGACACCAAAATCAGAACTAGAGTCGACAAGAAACCCATTTAATTGATGAAATTCATGTATAGCTATTTCTGTTTTTATGAAATTTATAAAATGCGGCTCTATATAATTACTTTCATAATTAATTTCACTATTTCACTTTCTTTACAATTAAGAGACGGAACTTTTATTAATTTCAAATTAATTTCACTGTTACTGATTGGAAAAGTACTTGAAATATACAAGTAGACACGCAAAAAAAAATTCCAAGTAAAATGTCCCATTGTTTCCAATTAAAATAAATTTCCTATAAACCAATATTTTCCTAGCCACGTAAACAGTAAGTGTAGTGCTGGTATAAATAGGGGGAATGAATAAGAAGTAAAGCAACACATCTCCTTGACCATTGGAAAAAAATGTGGAAATCTGACGATTATTAAAGCTTTCTTTCCATTTCGAAGGTTGATACGTCTTCATAAAAGGTTTGTCACTTTTGTGAAAATAATTTCAAACTTGTTCATTGTTATCTAACTCAATTTATTTTTGTTCGTGTTCAGTTGAGAAATAATATTAGCTGCTCTTAAAAGAATGTTCATACATTCCTGAAGTTAAATTGTGTCTGTATCGAAGCCCGGCCGGAAAATTATAAAGATGGCGATTAAATATATTCCTTGATCTACTAGTTGCTGTAAGAGAGGACAGGTTTTATAGGAGTGAAGATAGCTGGTGGTGCTATGGGTGTAATAGTATCTTGATAATTTTTGGTATTTAGGCTTGCTCGTGAAGTTCCAAAGGTAAAAAATAAATTTATGATTTTTGATATTCGAGTTTCTTGAATCGTCAACTAACATTCTCGTCTCATATTTTTTCCATTGTAGAAGTCATGGCGAATAGCAAGTTTTCAAGCTTTGTTTACAAAGTAATTGACCTGGCAGGTATAAACTCTGACATAGAAGGAAAAAGAATAAAATACATGAATCAAGTAGAACGGTTTATATTTGAAGGTATCAATAGACATATTCATAAATTTAATGATCACATACTTACTGGAAGTACATCAGAGGGTGTCACGCCCTTATATTTAAGTGATGTCGACTCAATGACGGTGCTAGAAGATGTCATATGTGTAGAAGAGGCCAATGCAGATACAAGTTGCAAACTTGACATTTTAGTTGCTGAATATGATAATATGCCACCCGGGTATGTCAAGGTCAGACATAAATATAAAAGTAATGACAATACTGAAATATCTTTGTTACTGTCACTATCATATCTTTATGAATCAGCTAGAGAAGCACCAATCATAGCAAGTGAATTATTCAATAAATATAGAAAGCTACCAGATGATACTATTGATACCATGTCCTGTCGTCTTAACTCGAAAATAAACGGTCCTGCATATACATTTACAATGAATTTAAAAGACTCATTTTCATTTGTAAAAGATTCATCATTTTCATTTGTCACTACCTCGGAAATTGATTGTGTGTTTGCTATCCGCTTTTACAATTCAAGTATTCTTACTGAATGGTCTTCGAGAGCTAGATACTACGACTGGCCTACAGCGGAACTTATACACGATGTTTCCACTATGGAAGAATTTATACTCCCAGTCGGCGATAAGAAAAGCGACACCGAGCATCTTGAATGGAGAATATCACATGTTACTATAGAGAAAAAGTTACTTAATACGTTCAATAGCACCCAAAGAAAGTTATATGTTGTATTAAAGTTATTTGCGAAAAATGTGTTTTCTTCAGTGAGTAAATCGTTTTCGTCATATATGGTAAAAAATGTCGTTCTTTGGATGGCGGAAATGAATCCAGGACATCACTACACACCAGATCTTTTTATTGCTCAACTTTTAAAAAGTTTCCATTTTATAAAGCACTGTTTGATCAATAATCACTTACCAAGTTATATGATGCCAAATAAAAATTTGATAGCAGGAAGAATATTTGGCCATGAAAAACATAAATCTGATATCCCTTCTTTCCTCTTTAATTGATGAAGGTGAATTTGTGATTTATAAGCTTCCAAACTTGGCAGCATGCTTGAACTACGTTTCTATACATCCAGTTATATTTACTGAATGCTGTATCTGGCGGCATTGTGTAGAATCACAAGTTTTGTCAGCCAAGAGTACATTTCTCTCTTCTCTGGATGCGAAAACTAACTGTCTGGAAGCACATTACCACAATTTAGACTACCCTTCGGTCTATGCCATAGCCCAAAATCAGCAAGTTTTAAGTAATGTGTGTATGTTATTCAAGCTGGTGATGCTTGACTATCGTGAACGATTTCCAAATGCTACCTTCGTCGATTTGACGAATACATTTCTCAAAAGACTTCAATTTGCTATGAAATGCTGGTTTCTGTAGTATAACGAATAAAGTTGTTTATCAAGATAAATATTTATTGTTGTTTTATATTTGTTTTGTAAGTTTGCATTTACTCACCGACATCAATAAAAATTAATACTATCTCGTATATTCATTTTCTATACTTAAGGTGCTAAAAACAAAACAAAACATCTCTTGATATAAAAAATGGAGATCAAGTTTTATTGTGTAGGATATTCACAAGTTTGCTACTTTTTTATCACAAATGTCTCTAGAAATCCAACTTGTAGCTTGCCATTATTAAAATGTATTCTAAGATTTATATTTGAAAACCTCTATTATAATGTTGAACATGTTTTGTACAAGTTAAAAAAAACATAGCCGTGAGCAATACACATAATAAATGGGTCTTTCAAGCCTTCATTTCGCAGCGATTACATGCTCCACGTTTGACTGTGGAAGCCTTGGAGGGTCACTTTTGAGTTTCGACTTATAGATTTATTTTACTATTTTCTTATGACTTTTGTATGGAAGCACTGGAGGATATGGAAGCACTGGAGGGCCCTTTTGACTTCTGACTTAATGACTTTTGACTTGGGAGTTATGACTTTTGACTTGGGAGTTTTGACTTTTAACTCAAGACTTATTACTTCTTAGTTGTGAAATTAATGAATTAAACCACACTTTAAGAGAGCACGTGAAGTAATGAGCGAAGATGGCTGTGCTGTGCCAAAAAATGAAATTCGTGATTGCGTGTTGTTTTCTGTGCACTCTGTTGAAGATAACAGCTGGTTGTGGTGCCAGCTTATCTGCCTTTGTCGTCTCCGAATGTTGATAAAGCATTACTCATTGAAAGAATATTTCAAACAAGGTTTTAAATACAGTGAAATTCTTGGATTTTTGCATGGTATTTTGTTGTCACTCTGCGTCAGCTAAAAAGAATCTTGAAGAAGTTGAACCTGAAAGTCGAGGTGTACATTTGCAATCGCAGTCGAAAAACGTTTGTTCGTGTAATTGGCACGGACATGCATTATAGTGGACAGTCTGTCGGTTATCGGACGATATGGCGCCGACTGAAAGTGAATCATAATTGGATGTAAGCCATAAAGATGTTATGACATAATGAAGGCAATAGATCCAAATGTTGTTGAAATGAGAAAGCACATCGACTTAAAAGACGTTTCTATTGTGCAAAAGGCCAAACAATATTTGGCATTTAGATGGTTATGATAAGTTTGAAACCATTCGGATTTTGTATACACGGAGCGGTAGATGGTTTTAGCAGGAAAATTATCTGGTTAGAAGTTCTCTGACACTAACAACGATCCAAAACTGATTGCGATATATTATTTGGATGCATTGAAGCGCATTGAAAAAATACCTCGCATACTCGTTGCGATGCTGGAACAGAAAACACTGTTGTTTGTCTTCTACAGCAGTTCTTTCGGAATGAAGCAACCGACCACTTTGCTGGTAGTCGCAGCGTTATTGTTGGAAGAAGCACTTCTAACCAGCGCATTGAAAGATGGTGTGGGTACGGTACGTCAACAGGATACAGTGGTGGATTAATTTTTTCAAGGATTTTGCGCGATTCTAGTCGTTTCAATGAACTCGACATTGTGAATATTTGAATTTTGTTTCATGACCTAATACAAACACACCTGGATATAATTGCTCAACAGTGGAATGTACCTCAGCACAATTCCGACGCACATCACGGAAAACCTGACATTATGTATTTTTTACCTGAAACGTTTGGCGCGCATTGATTATGTCACGGTGGTTGACAAACGTGATGTGACCTGTTGTAAAGACATGTATTCAGTTCCAACGAGAAAGTTTGACGATTCAGCGAATGGCATTATCTGTTAAAGCCCGGACCTCCAAATGCCAGTAGATGCGATTCGGCATTGAATTTTCCTGGAGCTTGAATGATTTAGTGGCAAACTCGTATGAAGACTGAAGTCTTTTTAAGCCATAACGTTGTTTTGTAAGAGAAACAAATTAATCAACACGATTTCCATCATTAATCATCATCATCTACATCATCATGATTATCATTATAAGTATGTTTATTGCAATGATGATTGTCATGATACTGCTACTCATGATGAAGGTCGACTTTATAATTTAAATAATTATGTTGTTGATGATAAGCAGAAGTTGATTTTGATGATAATGATTATAATCATGACGATTAACCCTTTCACTGCCATAGGGACGGCTTAAGCCGTCCCTGTTATTTTCGGCGTATTTGCCATATGGAGGGCTTTAGCCGTTTCTATAAAAATAATAGTTATAATAATAAATTAATAATAATAATAATAAAAATAATAATAAATATAAAGAAAATTATACCATCAACAATAATTATTATTATACTAACAGATTTGGAAACATATATAATTATTATAATACTAATAACAAATAATAATAATTATATTAATTAATAATATATAATTTCTTAGAAAATCCTCTGGCAAATAGGTGAACAATAAAACAATAACCCTCTGGCAGGGAAAGGGTTAAGGATGATGATCGTGATGATGTTGTAAACTATGGTATTATATATTTTATAGTAATTTTTGTTCATAACGTAAGTGGCATATGTTCCTATTCTTATGTTTGACAGTCAATTATAACAAACGAATATGTCACGAAAAGTCAAAATGTTATTTCTACGTTCAAAAAACTCATGACTCACAAAGGTCTGTTTGTAACCGTTAACGTTCAGTCAAGAAAAAACTACGGACCTGTGACAAGTGTAGACCGAATTAGTCTGTGCAGTGTGCAGACTTACTAGGGCTATATACTTAACTTCAGTTAATTAGAATCTGGCTATTAAAATAAATATCACTGCCTCACGTTCATACTTTGTAGACCAAACGCCCTAGTACGAAACTTGCACAGGATAGTCTAGCCAGTACTACCGTATTCTTCCTAGTAATCGCTCAGGGCGCTTAGAAAATTGTGAAAGGGGGCGCTTATTAGGAGTCAGGTCTTACAAAAGTATACAATATGTTTGAGTCACAGCTATGCAAATTCTGTTGATATCTTGTATTTAAAGTGGTCCCGTTTACTGACAATCACTACAATGGGTTTGAAATGTGAATATTCACAGTCTTTCCTTTGTACAGTGAAATTTTCTAGGCCCGCGCGACATGCATAACAAAAATTAAAATGTCGATTGTGGTCAGTTGATTTTTTTTTTTTAAGACAATTCATCCTGGGCGCTTAACCACTTACAAATGGAAAAGAAGGATGGGCGCTTATAGAAGCATTGGCTCTTATTAGGGCGAATAGGTAGTTATCCGTGGTAAGGTCAGCTTCAAGAATTTCCAGGATGACGCATTTGTAAAGCTAAGGACGTTTAAAACGATATTGCAATGACACTTCGTGCACAATGGTCTGACTTGTGACTTCGTATTTCTGACTATTTGTGACTTTTGACTTCTTACTTGTGACTTCCTACTTGTGACTTTTGACTTCCTACTTGTGACTTCCTACTTGTGACTTTTGACTTCCTACTTGTGAGTAGTGACTTCAAACACTTGTGACCTTGACTTTTTACGTTTCGACCTCTATTACAAATGCATGGAATTAATATATGGTTTGGGGATTGGCAAAGGAACAGATATTCAACCGCCATGAAGCTGTACGTGTATCATAAAATGCAACTAAAAATATAATAATTCGAGGACTTGGTGCAAAACAATTGTATCTCCTTCTTTATCTAGTTTAGGTTACAACCGTTTCGCAATAAGCCCTCAAAATGGATTAAACAACTAGACTTTTTCTAGCCCTAGTATAAAGCGCCCGTGTAGGGCAAGGTCATGTACCAAAACTATGATTTTTTGTTCTTATTCCACCAGTCCTATTTTGACATAGCACAGCTCTGGATACGAGACACCAGCACACGGAAGCTGGTTCTTTTTGTTATATTTTCCTTCAGATGACAGCAATATCATTCCCAGCAAAGCTTCTACTTAAGCTCACGCGAATTAAAAACTACAATAAGAGCGTCATGGGCAGCACACTCGACTATTCTTAGTTCTTGGTAGTAAAATGAAAACCATCTTAGTCGACAAGGCAGTCAATTTTAACAAAATGCTTGACAGGGTTATCTACCCAGGTCTTGGGGTCATGGTGGTCCAAATTGTATTGCCCGATTAGTGATGGATATGTATAACATCGCTAAATTACATTATTTAAGAAGAATATTCAAGCAAACTATAAAAACTTACATCATCTGACAAATCGCTTTCCGCCATGTTGCATCTCCTGGCTTAAAATGAGCGGCAATACATCATCACAAATTACAAGTCACAACTTAGAAGTCACAAGTCATAACTCCCAAGTCAATAGTCAAAAGGGCCCTCCGGTGCTTCCATAGGAGGACCCTTTTGACTTCTGACTTAATGACTTTTGACTATTGACTTGGGAGTTATGCCTTGTGACTTTTAAGTTGTGACTTGTAATTTGTGATGATGCTTTGCCGCTCATTTTAAGCCAGGAGATGCAACATGGCGGACAGCGATTTGTCAGATGATGTAGGTTTTTATAGTTTGCTTGAATATTCTTCTTAAATAATGTAATTTAGCGATGTTATACATATCCATCACTAAACGGGCAATACAATTTGAACGATCTGTGTATTTTTGTGCACTGAGATCTATATGCGTTTAACATAAGAAATTAACACTTTCCCTCAATGTGAGAAAAGTGACTCCTTTCAAACCTCACGGGCGATCCGAGTATAACTTTCATCAATCAAACAATCTATACTTAATGAAACTTATAAGTACTAAGATTTAAACTTGCAGATAAGCTCGAGTTTTCAAAATATATGCCAAATCAGTTATTGGCTTCTTGTTAAGATTGAATTATTACAAAATGCATTTACTGATATAAAATGATGATACTATGATAAGTGTTTATACAAGAATCGTTGTAATTATTCTATACAAGTATATATAAACATAATTATTTTGACCACTATATATACATGTACATAGAAAAGGTTGTCGGAATGATCGATTTCGTTTAGTGTATTAATACCATTCACAAAACTAAAAAACAAAGAAACACTCTTCTATAAATGACTGATTATGCATAAAATACA